TATACTTCCTGGGGTTGTTGTGAAAAAACTGTTTTTACAAACCTCATTTGAAAAACACAGTGGATGAAAATATATATTGTCTGCGTTTTTTTTTAATAAGGAGAACAGTGATTTCGTTAGTGTAGAGAGCCCCTGGAGAAGAACTTTCTCTATCTGTGCTGGTCTGCACCTGCTCTACAATGTGTGGTCTTAGAGAGTTGCTGGGGTCATTGAGGTTAGATGACTTGTTAAGGATCCCACAACCTGCATGTGCCAGAGGTGGGACTTGAATCATGGTCTTCCTGACTCCCAGGCCAACTTTCTATCTCCTGTGGGACACTGCTTACTGTTCACGTCGTCGTGCCACATAATTAAACGTGGGCCCAGAAGTGAATAGGAAATGGACATGAGACTGGATTAAGTAGGGGAGATGCTAACCACTCCCTTTTTTAACACCAGTATTTTCCTGTTGATTTTGTATGAATGCATAAAAAACCACAGTCTCAGAAAACTCAAGGGCGATGGAAAAAGACACATGGTGGGTGTAAATAGGCTGTTCTCATATCACTTACTTGTATTCGAGGAGGGGTATGAAAAGCACATTTATGTCTAGAAAAGGAGGAGGACTGGTCATGTAACAAAAAGAAGAGGTAATAGATGGACAGTTTGACCATTGCGCTGTGTGTTCACACAAATGTTTAAAAACAACAACAAGGAAAACCTCCTGAGCAATGGAAGTCTGTTGGGAATTTTAGGAAAGACATGGTCTCACCAGTTACGACGGTTTTGATGGGCTGTGGTACATTGGTGTAGGGAGTACCCACAATGAGATTATGAATCCATTGAAATGCCAAAGTAAAAAGAGAGAATAATAAAAGTGATGTTTATGGGAGAATACTCTAGGCTACTTACTCGGATGATATTTTCTGAATTTTCATTACAAAACAGACACAGAGATAAGATACAGGGGATTTCAGACTCTCTGGGAATTTACAGGAAAACCTCACCCTGCAGCAACAGGACATCTGATACATTTTTAATTTGTCTTACTGACGTTCTGATCAATAAGGAAGACTTTGTTAGAGCTATAGATATGAAAAGATTCATGGAAGAAAGTAGCTGTTGTTTTAGAGTATAGTAGAAAAGGAATTGGAGTTGGGGTCAGGCCCTCAGTTTAAATTATGACTTCTGCATGCTAGCTGTTATGTCCTTGGGCACTCAACCTCTTTGTTTCCTTTATCTGCAAAATGAGGGTTTGACCTTAGTTGTCTTTAGATCCCTTCCACCTCTTAATGTATGATCCTGTAATCATATCAGCTAGGATTGGTAGGTAGAAATCACAGGACAGATTGCGACTTAGTAATAGGGAACAATGTCAAAACAATCAGCGATTTAAAAATAAAATGGGATGCCTTATGAAATAGTGAGCTCACTATATTCTTAGATACTTAACTAGCTGTGTGATCCTGGGCTAATCACTTCACCCTGTTGACCTCAGTTCCTCATCTGTAAAATGAGCTGGAGAAGGGAATGGCAAACCGCTCCAGTGTCTATGCCAAGAAAACCCCAAATGGGGTCACGAAGAATTGGATAGGACTGAGACAACTGAGCAACAAGAACAGGAACAACTGGATATGTTTAAGCAGAGGTGCTTCCATGAGATGCTATAGCAGGAATTCCTGCGTTGAGTGAGACAGTGGGCTACGTTATTTCCAAGGTTCCTTCCAACTCATAAGATCCTTTGATTAGTTAGCTGTTTTGGAATCAAAGCATATAATGTCAGGTTAACAACTAGTTGAAAAAGATATATACTAGATGATGACTCATTAGTTTGCCACTTGTTTCCCCCAAAGCCAGATTAAATGGTCAGTATTTATGGTATAAAGTATATGGTATAAGTAACAAAATATACAGTTTTTCCAAATTCTATTATTTGCATCTTTTCCTAAATATTATTTCCTCCTACAGAAATGTTTATTTTCTTCAGTCATATTTGTGGTGGTTTGTACCTTTATTCTGTCCGTGTTTTCTATTCAGAATAGATGGGGAATTACTGTTTTGCTAGGATATTACCATTTCTCGCAGTATCAGTTTATTTCTTGTTTTGTAAGTTTCTCCTAGTAAAAGATTGTGAAATGGTAAAATACTTGTATTGAAAGTCATCACATGTTTGACATTGTGTATGAATATGAAGCCAGTAATATAAATAAGACTTAGGCCTATCTCTCCTCCAGTTGTTAATACAGTTTTAAAACCGTAATCACCATTTGGTATTATATTCATCCATACATTCGTTTATATGGTCAATAGTCCTTCATTCAACTAATGTTTATTAGGCAATAAAAGTTTGTTGCACAGGACACTAGAGGGGATACAAAATTGTATGAGAAGATTCCTAGCAGCACTGTTTGTAATAGTCTGGAAAAGCCTGAGAGCAAACTTTACGTCCAGATATTGGGGAGTGGTTGAAAGAATTATGGTTTATAAATGTGTTATAATAAATGGTGAATCTGAAGAAATATGGGAGACTTGCAGAATGAAGAAATTCAATAGAATGTGTTCATTGACCGTATCTACATAGCACATTAAACAAAAACACAATGCATGTTAAATACCTTGGATGACTTAGTTACAATGTTGTTAAGGTTAATATGCCCAGCTTTTGTTCTGTTTAAACAGTCAGAAAGTAGCAGTACACACCGAGGAGTTCACAGTTTTTTTTTTGCATAGCTTTGTTGTTTCAAGGCTTTTGATTTCTACTTTTTTGTTTGTATATTTGAAAACATCATGGTTGTGCAGGTATAAACAAGATTAAACAAAAGATGTATTTGCCAACTCCACCACCTCAAACAGTGCAAGACATAGTCTCATTCTGTGGGAATTTAACATCTGCTAGGGTAGATGTGCGTGCAGGTATCAATGATACAAGGTATAGGTGCCATATGAGTGTGCTGACAGCTGATTAATGGAGCACAGAAGAAAGAGGGATCTCTTCTGGCTTCAAAGGAGAGTAGGGTTTCTGGGTGGTGGGGCGGGAGGGAGCAGTCCCAGTAGAAGAAATGGAACAAGCAAAAGCAGTAAAGTTTAATAGGTGTTTGGGGGGAACAGTGAGGAGGCTTGATTGGCTAGAAGATCTTTATTGTCAAGTCAAATAGTTGGGCAGGCAGCAAGGAGACATTGCAGGGTTTCCAATAGTGGAATCATGTAGTGGTAGTGTAACTTCTAGCATGATGCAGTATTGTGGGGAAAGCACTCAGCTAGGAGGTAGACAAAACCTTGGTTTGAATCTGTTTCTGACAATTACCTATGTGACATTGGGCAAGTCACTTAATCTCTCTGAAACTCGGTTTCATCCTCTGTAAAATGGGCATAAAAATTACCTTTAGTGCCTATCTCATAGGTTATTGCAATGAACAAATGAGAGAATATATGTAAAGTATTTCGTAAAATCTTAAAGTGTTATGTAAATGTCAGTTATGTTAATTTTCGATTCAATTCATTAAACATTTTTTAAGTGACTCCTCTGTGCCAGGCATTATATACTAAGCTCTGGGGATACAAATAATAAAAAGAACAAATAGTCCTACCTTGCAAAAAGGGAGAAGACAATACACAAGAGGAAGCTGAAAGGGAAGGAGGAGTCAGAGGGCACCTGGGGCAAGCGCATGATGTTTGTGTCGGAAATCAAGCAGAACCACTAATGGAAAATGGAGCCTTCTCTGGAAAGTTCTGAGCCCGCAGTCAAAGAATACTTTGGGAGGAGCTCATTGCTCTACCCTCCAGTCAGCAGGGAGAGGCGGCTGGGGGAACTGAGAATCAGCAGGGCGCTGAGTATCAGAGACTGAGTCAGGCTTCGGGGTGATGAGATTTCAGGTGAACACCTTGCTCTGAGGGAGGAGGGATGTTCATGGAGTGGAAACCAAGTGTGGTTCTGATGGCTTTGAGGATGATGATGATGATGAAGCAGCAGCAGCTGGTGGCAACATGGAGATGGCCTGGAAGAGGGGAGAATCTGCAGATGAGGAATCCAGTTAGTTTAGGAGTACTGTGCTAGCTTTGGAGCTCTAGTGAACTAGGGGAGTGGCTTGAAGTAGGTTGCTGGAGTGGCTGTAAAGAAGCAGATGCCTTTAGTATTGTTTAAAAGGTGTGATTCTCTTTATCTGATATTCAAATCACTGTCCTGTTAGTGGGCAGCTTGGTGATGCAATGGATAGAGTGGAGGGCCTGGAGTCAAGAAGACCTGAATTTGAATCCAGCCTCAGCTAGTTGTATGACCCTGGGCAAGTCACTTAACATCTGTTTGTCTCAGTTTCCTCATCTGTGGGATAATAACAGCACCCACCTCTCAGGGTTGTTGTGAGGATCAAATGAGATAATAATTATGAAGTGCTTACTACAGTGTCTGATGTTGCAGGCTTCAACACTGGGAACCCCAAAATGCAAGGGTACAGGGAGTCTGCCTCAAAAGAATTTGACCACTCAAGCCTTCTTTCAATCAAAGTAGCGAGGTTTTATTATAACACCAGTAAGGCAGGCAAGATTTCTAGCAAATCTGTGGTTTGGTAGGGGTAAGACTGATACTTATATACAAGAAAAGACAGTGAGAAGATCTGGATGGGATTAAGGAGTGGTCAATAGCCTGGGGTGGTCCTGGGGCAACAGAGAAAGGGTCTAGATGGGATTAAGGAGTGGCAAGTAGCCTGGGGTGGGCCAGGTGAAGACAATGAAAGGAGTTAAGTGGTTGGAGAGCCTTGGTGAAAGGGCAATTAAAAGGATTATTGAGTATCTAGGTAGACTGGGATGGGCCAGATGCCTCAGGCAAAATGCCAGTGAGGGAAAGTTCATGGGCTTTTAGGGGTCCAGGTCCTATTACCCCATCACCCTAGCACATAGTAAGTGCTATACAAATGTTAGCTATCCTTGTTATTGTTATTATTGTTATTATCCACCACAGCTTTACTCTTGAATAATAGAAGACATTGTTGAAATATCCATTCAGTTTTTACTCTATTTATTTCTAGGTGCTCCTAACACTGCAGAATTAAGAATCTGTCGTGTAAACAAGAATTGTGGAAGTGTCAGAGGAGGGGATGAAATATTCCTACTCTGTGACAAAGTTCAGAAAGGTACTCCTATTTGAATTCTTTTATTAAATTTATTTCATATAAATATACACATTTTACATTTTAATCACCTACTGTTAAATATTTCTGCTCATTTTCTAGATGATATAGAAGTTCGATTTGTGTTGAATGATTGGGAAGCTAAAGGTAGCTTTTCACAAGCAGATGTTCATCGTCAAGTAGCCATTGTGTTCAGGACACCACCATTTTACAAAGCCATAACTGAACCAGTAACAGTAAAAATGCAGCTCCGAAGACCTTCGGACCAGGAAGTTAGTGAATCCATGGACTTTCGATATCTGCCAGATGAAAAAGGTACCATTTTACCACAAGACAAGTTTTATTACATAAAAGATAGTTTTGCTTATGATTTTCTTTATTATTGATTCAAATCTGGGTTTCATTTTATGTGTCCATAAGTTTATACTTTTCTTTTTGGAAGCATTTCCATTTATATTTTATTTATTTATTTATTCCATTTATATTTTTATTTACTTTCCTTAGCAAATCACCATTCATTCAACAACTGTGTGACTGCTAAATAGTATAAATATTACATTATAAATGCAGCTGCACTCTTGGTTGCTGTGAGGCATATAAAAAATAAAAAGTGGGCCTTGCTCTCATTGGAACTTCCATTCTGTGGTGGGAAGAGTAGACATAGACACAAAGAATTACAAGTAGAAGGTAGAAAGAGTATGGGAGAGGCCCAGAGTACTCAAGGTCACTCAGGAGAGAAAGAGGTCTCCTCCAGTGTGAGAAGGGGACAGGTGGAACCAGGGAAGCCTTCAGGGACCCGATGCAGGGAGGTAGAATGCAGTGAGATGGTGTTCTGGGGAGAAGCGCAGGAAGGCCCAAGTCCCATTAGTTGAGGCATGGAGCAGGCAAAGTACAGGACAGGGTTAGGAAACAGGGAGCTGAATGAGAGTCTACAGTTTAGTGATAATAATGGCTGAGATTGATATAGCACTTTAAGATTTGCTAAGTACTTGACATGTATTATTTGGTTTGAACCTAAAAACAATCCTGAGTTAAGCACTACAGGTTCATATATGATGATCTCCCTTTTACAGATGAGAAAACTGAGGCTCAAAGAGGTCAGAGGATCAGAGATTTAAAGCTTGAAGGGACCTAAGACGCCATCATGTCCAAGCCCTGCTCCCTCCCCCATTTTAAAGATGCTGAATCTGAGGCTCAGAGAACTGAAATGACTTGTTGAAGGTCACAGAGATAATAAGGGTCAGGGTCAAGAGAGGAACACAGGTCCTCTGTCTTACTTTCTGCTTCTTCCCCACATTCATTATAAGCAAAGGGTTTGTGTCAGTCTGAATTCCCTGATGGCTTTGGAGCACTTCATTTTCAATGAAAGCTTTCCCATAGCCATCACATTTACAGTTTCTCACTAGCATGAGATCTCTGAAGGGTAGTAAGGTTTGGCCTTTGGCTAGAAGCTTTTCCATGTTCATAACACGTAAAGGGCTTTTCTCCAGTATGAGTTCTCTGATATCTAGTAAGGTTTGTCCTCCAGATGTAGCCTTTCCCACATTAATTACATAGAAAGAATTTCTCTCTAGTGCGAATTCTCCATTACTCGGGCATGGTTTCCACTCTGGTGGGATTCACACCTGAGTCATTTTGAAGGGCTTTGAGCTAGGCAGATAGGCCATGGAGGACGGGGAATTTGGAGAGGGAGTGGAAATATGAGACGGGGAAGTGAATTTAGAGAATTAGTGGGAGTTAACATGGTCCTAAAAAGGGTTTTGCTGAAAATAATCTATGGCTTTTATTTTTACTTAAAATGAGAATGTCAGATATAAGGCAAATTTTTGCAGCTCCTTTTTTTTCAAGTTGATTAGAAAGTTAAACTGATAATTATGTATATATATAGATATATATACATATATGTGTATATGTGTATATGTACTCAGAAAAATGTATATATATATACTCATACATATATACATACATCTATCTACATATCAAATCTATATGTATTATGTGTTTGGATATAAAATTTTAATACTTCATTTTAAAAAACATTTTCATAATACCCTGTTATTTTCTTAGTGTAGTGGAAAGAACAGTTGGTTTTGGGATCAGAAAACCTGAAAAATTCCAGTTCCATTAGCTGTGCCCACTTTGGACAGGTCCATATTCAACCTTATAGAGCTCATTTGTAAAATGAGGAGATTGAACCACAGGAACTCTGAGGTCCCTTCTTGCTCTAAATATAGGATTCTGTGATCCTCCCACTAACCTTGTCAGGCAGGTAGGATCACTGTAAATTCCGTTTTGCTTTTTGAAAAGAACATTCATCAAATCAATAGCAGTTATTTGCCATCACATGTATAGTGTTTTTTTATGATTCTTTGTCCTTACTAGTTGAGTAAGAGACATTTAACTTTTCTGGATTGATTAGCTGATTAATCTTAAGCTTGTTAGTTCTCTATTAACCCTGGGAAAAGAATTCTGATTAATTGTAACGAAGAATAAACATTTTAAATACTTAATAAAATATCCTTTTTTCTTTCACTTGTTTGTTTATATACACTTATGAATTAATCACCATTAATAAAAGTATCTAATTCTTATTGTCCCTTGCACTGATTAAATTACTATCTTTACCCATTTATTCATAAAGATTATCTTACTTAGCTAACATGAGAAAAGCACTTACTACTTACTTTCTCATGGGAAAAAGGAACCTCATATTTTCATCTAAGTTCAATTCTCTAGTAAATACCCCCTAGCAATCATTTTGAATTAAGATTATTTGGTAAGTAATTCATAGGTTTAAAGTATAACATAGTTTTTAAAAGCTAGAATGATTTGGGGAAGTAATTCATGCTATCTTCTTACCAAGACTTACTCTAAACCCTTTTAAACAAATAAAGTAGGGTCAGACTGACAGAAACTTTTCTGTGCACGTATGAAGAAAGAGCCTTTGGACAGGTCTCTTAGGATTCAAACATTATCAACTTCTTGTTTGTTGTTTTCCAAACTACAGATTTTAGAATGCTGTGTGTGAAATTTTTTCTGATATCAACTTTTAAATCTTTTCTTTTTTTCCCACAAATCCTACAGAAGAAATGAATACTTTTACCAACTAAGAGAAAATCTTGTGCTGACAATGATCTATAGTTATTAAATCACTTCCAGGCAGATAAGTGGTGCAGCTGATAGAGGGCTGGAGTCAGGAAAACTTGATTCAAAACTTGATTAGCTGTGCAAATCACTTAACCTTTGTCTGCCTCAGTTTCCTCAATTGTAAAATGGGCATTGTGATAGCATTACCTCATAGGATTATTGAGAGAATCAATGAGATATTTGAAGAGTGCTTAGCATAGTGCCTAGCATGTGGTAGGTGCTTAATAAATGCTTGTTTCCTTTATCTTCCCCCTTTCCTATGTACATTGATTTAAAGCATAGTTTCTATATATTTGTGATTAAAACACCACATTTGTTTTAAAGAGGGTAGAAGCATAATTGTGTGATTAATACATTTCCCTCCTTCTTACCTAACCAGATCCATATGGTAATAAATCAAAGAAACAAAAAACAACTTTAGATTTCCAGAAGCTGTTGCAAGGTTGTGGTAAGGATTTTTTTTACTTTTAAACATTTTACCAATTTTCAAAATTAAATGCCAGATTTTTCTAGCTTATTTAATATTTTAAATTCATCTGATTTATAAATGTAAATTTCAAAATGATACTAAAAGTTTTAAAAATTATAGTTAATTTTCCAGAAAGACCAAAAGTTGGCCCTCCCCGATCAACTGGAGAAGGGAGAATCATCAAAAAAGGTATTTATTTCTGTAGCATTTGACCTTTTGTACAGATACAGAAATCAGAAAGACTAGCGTGCTTTATATATTTTTCCACCATGATCACACAGCTAAGTGTCTGAGGCAGAATTTAAATCTAGGCCTCTCACCACCCACTGTCATGCTTCATCCACTTTTTGATGCTGCCTCTTGATAAAACATTTCTGGTTATTTGGATTCTAATTAATAGAGGTTCTACTCTAATATTTATATAAAATATGCCCAGGTTTCTCACAGGAGCTTCAAAAGCTGGATTTTCATAACGTCCTAAATGAGATTACACGTTGATACTTAGTATATATTCTTACAAAATAATTTGCTTAAATTCAGTGTAAACAGCAGTATTCAAACATTAGTAGAATAGTTTTACCTGAAGTGATTTTGGCTATTTTGTACCCAAGTTTATAGAGGTATGGGAATTACATTATTTAAATAATATAATGTTAGGACTTATTTAAGTTTATGTATAATTGAATGTTAAGATGCTTTAAAGTATTATCTTAATTTTTAAATACTTTTTTAATAAAAAATTACTTTTAAAAAAAAATCTTTTTTTTTTTAATTTGTACCTCTCATAGAAATGCAAAGAACTCCAGCAACTATGCATCAAGTCCCACCTTACTTTTCTTCATCACTTGTGTCAAGTCCAAATACAATGTCACAAACGGCTTCAACTTTACCTTCAATGATATCTTATCCTTCTTCAAGCTGGCCATCAGTGACTCTTCCTACATCAATAAACTCAATTAATACACATTCACCAAATGGTTTTTCAACAGGGACACTTCCCTCTGGTTCAGAGAGTGGCCGGTCCTACCTGGAAATCGCTGTTTCGGGTAGTCTAGACACTTCTGATCCTTGTCTGTTTAACAATGGTACCAATGGAATTGGAGCTCAGTCCCTTTCACAGGCTGACCTCTTTAGTGTTAGTTCCAGCATGCTGCAGAGTCGTCCTATGAATATCACCACATCCAGCAGCGACAGCATGATGGACACTGATGTGCACTATGGCAGCATGAACCTTGAAAGCTCATCGTATAACTCGGGCCTAAACCCGAGAGACTACAGGCGTCCGCTCCATCCGACGTCCTCCACCAGGGCATCCGCAGCAGGCTCCAGCGCCAGTCCACTCTTTGTTTCACAGTCAGATGTATTTGATTCAGTGGATTTCAGCTGTCTAGAGAACAGCGCAGTAAGTGAATCAAAGCCATCAGGCAACCCCAATTCAAATAACCCAAGTTTTGTGCCTAACAGTCAGTGTTATGTTAACGATAATTTGCAAAGTGAAGATCATTTTAATTCCTTTGAAGTCAATTTAGACTTGTTTAATACAGAACTTGTCTAATTAAAATGGAGTTTGTATCCTCTGAATATACATTTGCAGTCATTTTAAGGTTCTGTTTTGAATCTTAAGATACACCATTTTACACTCTTCTTATGCACTGGAACCTTGCTATAAGTCTGCTGTTGTGTGAATTTAGTGTCTTTTGTGGATCTTGTCCAGAGGAGGTTGCCATGAAAGTGCCCAAAGTATTCCTTACAGCAGAGTGTCATCTATGGCATTGGTTTTACTGAAGGAATTGCTTATGCAAGCAAATAAAGCTTCCAATGACTTTATACATACCCATATGAGTAAATTCATATTTGCTTTCAAGCAAATTATTTACATAGATACTGTAATGACCGTGTCATTGAAAAAAAACATTTTCAGCATTATTATTGTAGGCTGCAAGTGGCCCCTAAGGGGTCTCCTGTGACTCTGTGACCTAATGTGTAGAATTCCTAGTTGTTAATAAAGCCTGGGCCTGAAAGAAAATCGATAGAACATTGGGATCACCTCGAATAGGTAGCAGGTTCCCAAGAAATTCTACTTGTTTAATGCCCGGCTCTTCATTGGATAAAGCTGTTTCTTTGTAATTATTGAATGTCTCTTAACATCTCTCTGCTCCTTCAAAGAAGCTGAATTAGATTTGCTATTAGGGTAGAGGCATTTATCCATAGCTTCTTTCACCTCTGGGAATGATTTGGAGACCTTCCCTGTCATCTTATTTTTCCCCAGATCCTTTTTCTCCCCATTTTTAATTTGAATAAATTGATGACTTTTATATAATTGAAAGTGAAATTATTTCATCTCACCAAAAGTGAGTCTTAAATCAGGTGAAGTTGACACTGAATGACCAGAAGAATGTAAGCTCCTTGAGCACAGAGAATGCTTTTGGCCCTGTATCCCCAGAACTTAGCACAATGTCTAGATGATGACAATAATAGGTGCTTAATAAAGGATTGCCAAGCCAAAATGAACCTTATCAGCTATACCACAGAATGGGACTCCAGTTTTTATTTTGTTCTTCTATACACATATATATATGAATAGTGCAATAGAGTAGATAGTCCAAAGTGGGGATTATTTTTTCAAGACTTGATTCCTTAACAATGTAAGAAGTGCTGGCATGTGGAACAAAACTCACTTAGTAAAGTGAGCTATTTATTGAGCTGCCTTGTCCTATTTTTTCCTTTTGATAATTCGAAACTAGAATGTTCTCAAACTGGAACAGGTGGTTCCATTAGAGATCTTATAATCTGGGTAGGACCAGTTTATGAACTAAGAAAATTAGAGGAGCCCCAGGTTCTCTAGACTAAGTCCTACTAGGTCGCACCTCCTAAGAGAGTATAGTTGTCCCATTAATAAATCCCAGCGCTGTTATCCTGTGAGAGCTTCTTCCAGTACACAAGTATGTCCCGGGTCTAACGCGTGGGTGATCAACCTGAATTTGTATAAGGCTTCCATGAATGTAATGCTCAAAAGGCAAGGGGAAAGTAGAGCTACTGGCTCACTCTTCACTAGAGTTGCAGGGGCCAGGCTCACTAAATCGTTTTGTTGAGGGAGCCCATTTGTTCTCCTCGGTTGAGAGGAATCTGACGCTCCAGTGTCAGTCGCTGGTCCCCACGGGGGGTCCTCTCCACTGTTGCAGGTCGTGCTGAGGTGCCGAGGTAGCTTTTGTTTATCCGGGTTCCCCAGAGTCCATAAACAAGTTCAAAGGACAAGTTCGGAGGTTCCTTTTCCCGTCTGCCTCAGGTTGCTCAGGCTGTTTTTCATTAGTGTACCTGCAATTGCTGCAGGACACCTGTTCTTTCCTTCGTCCCCAGTTCTCGTGATCATTGCACCCTGCCCCTACATTGTCCCTAATTAGGCTGTTATTCCAGTTTTGCCTCTCCGGGTCCACCAGCATTCTTAGGCTCCCCTTATGTACTTATTTGGGCTTAAGATGGGAATGCAATTCCATATACTTCAAGGGGTATAAATCCACTAATGGTTCAAAAGCTTTTCTTAACGACCTAATTTATTCCTTATCCCTTTTATGTAATTTGGAAATTTAACTGTCGAACAGCTTCAAGTGCCTCCACACCGAACCCTAAATTGCCTTGTATTTATGCTTATATGTGTACATATTGTTTCCCCAGATTAGAATGTAAGCTCCCAGAGGGCAAGGACTTATTCATTTTTGTCTTTGTATCTGCAGTACGTAGAAGAGTGCCTGATACAGGCACTTAATAAATGCTTTTTGATTGAAGAATTCTTACTTTATTGATTTCCTAGAAATTTCTGATTTTTTAGATATAGGCTATGAATTGGGGGAGGGGGAGAAATTTTAAGGACAGATTTTGATGTTAATGGACACAGATGAAACCTGTCCCATGCCCAGAATACAACTGGAAACCTTAATCAACATTTTTTTATTCTTAGGCTTTTGGAATAAAGGGCAAAATCATAAGATAACCTAAGAGAAAGTGATATTAAGGATTTGTTAAAAAGAGTAACAGATTTTTAAAAACATCCCAGAATTGCCACATATTTAGCCCAATAATTCTACTCTTAAATTTTCATCAATGACATGAATAACCAAAATGAAAGCTGTTACATGTCAATAAAGAAAAATCAAATTATCTAGTTTTGTACTTATTTATGAAAGTATTTGCTATTTCTGTTTCTTTTTTACAAAAGTTTGGAACAGCCAAGTTGAAATGCTTTTCTGATCAAACCTTAGATAAGCAGAAAATTAAGTTAACCAGCATCCTCCAATCTTTAATCATTGAGTTACTCATGACTTTTAAGTTTTAAAAAAATATTTATTAAGAAATTATCACACTTCAAATACAACTAAATGTTCTTCATGATTTACATTTCAGCATATAAAGACTAACTTTCCAGCTACTTCCCCTAAGTCCACGTATTTTCATTCACCTTTCCTCTTATTTGGTCTCGTATAACCTGTTACTGTTTCTGCCTTTTTTTTTTTTTTAGCTTTGCATCATTTCATAAAGATCTTTCAAGACTTTTTTGCATGCCTCATACTCATTGGTCTTACTTGCATTATAGTACTCCATTATATTAATGTGCCACATTAAACCATTTTTCTATAACAGGATTTCTAGATTTTGAAATTAAAAACAATGTTCTTATGAAAATCTTTGAACAGATATTTCTTAAAAACAAACACTTTCAGGGTATATTCTTAACAACGTAATGAAGCGAAAGGGCATGACTATTTTTGTAATTTTTATTGCATATTTCCAATTTGGTATCTAAAAGAATTAGACTGGTTTGAAATTGCACTTATGGTAAATAAGTTTAAGTGTTTCTCTACAACCCCACCAGAATTTTTTTGTTGATTAAAAAAATTTTCCCCCAATTTAATTAATGCAAGGTGGTAGCTCAAAGTTGTTTAAATTTGTATCTTTACTAGGGAGGTTGAGCATTTCTTGCATGATAATTATCAATAATTTATTTTTCCTCTAATGAAAATTGCCAATATCCTTATCTATCATGGACTATGGAGTTATTTTGTTAATTTTTAAGCAGATGTGTGTGTTAGATGTCAAGTTTTGTTGAATTTCCATGAGTTTTTCCAGATGTTTTTACTTAGTTTTTTGTTGTACAGACATTTAATATAATCAAGCACTCTTTTTTAAAAAATTAGCTGTTTGATAGGAAAAAAAAAATCATCTCCCAAGATTAAGATAAAGACATCTGATTCTCTTTTTATAAAGTTTTTTTAATGTTTAAATCTATTTTCTTTTGTGTAAATTACTTTACTTGCTATTCACTTACAGGTGTTATTTATCAGGAAGCATGTTTCGGTTGCCCAGTTGTCTGGCACACAAGTTCTCGATGAACTATTATCAAATTGAATTGAAGACGGCAAAAATTGTCTCTCAACATAAACTTACTCCATCGAATCCCAAGATTTTAGCAGGGAGCTGGCTTAATAAATGCTTTGCTAGTGGCCACAATCAGCTTTCGGTTTTACAACGTGGGAAAACATGAATTCTAGATACAGTCTTCACCATAACCTGTGGTGATTTTATCTTCTTTCCTTCTCTGATACTATTCGCTTCAAAAGAAATCTCACTGAATGACAGCATCTCTTTTCTGAATTCTATACTTTGCATTTCTGTTTACGTACATATATTTCTACTAGATTACAAACTCTTGGAGCATAGACCTCATCTTATTATATTCATTTGTACCTAGCAGGATTCTTTGCATATAGGTGCTAGGTAAAGACTTGTGGATTGCTAATGAACCATAAACTTAAAAAAAAAAATACTGATAATTTTAGATTTTAATTTTAAGCTTTATTCACCGAAATGAACTTTTATTGATATTAGCCTATAATTCATTCTTTGGCATACTTCTAATTACACAATTTGAAAATAATTATAATCCTGTTGTCTTAACTGGTCTCCAAGAAAAATTCAGATGTTGCATGGTACTCTTGTGATAAAAGAAACTTAGGATTAATTCAGAATTTAAGAATTCTGTAACTAAACAGGCAAATTCTCTAAGGCTATATTTGCAGAAAAGGTGCTAACTTGCATTGGTAGGGGGAGTCTTCTCATCTGGAAGTTTCCTGACCCAAAGAAAGGACAGATCCCTATTCCTATTATTGAATTTGACGTAACATTTAAACACAGAAAGGCTATTAAAGTGAAATTGCCTTTCAGTGTTATGATTTTAAAATTTTTATGTAATTTTTACCTCGCCATTTTCTAAAAGCTAAGTCACAAAGTGTATTTCAGATAATCAGTCACATAACAAAAATGATACTACATAAGTGCAGAGCTCCAAAGAACTATGAACATTTTATTTAAAATCTGTTAATTTAAACAAATTCATAAAGGATATTACAAAACAGTTTTCTAAATGTGCTCTCTTCAAATTTGCTTTTATGGGCAAAAATTAAAGTGAATTTCATTCTCCCTGTTCCCAGTCTTGCATATGAAATAAACCTGGGAAAACTTATTTAACAGTCTCTGCCTTAACTATGGTCATTTTACATATAAGTATTGGCAAAAATGTGATATTTTATGTTACTGTTTATTCTTTACTCAAATTTCTAGGTAATTAAAAATATTTGAGGTCCCTTCTGATCATCTGCTCAAGGGTTACTTTCTTCCATTTCTGGGGCCCCATGCTGAGCTGATGTATACAATTTTGCAAACTTTTTTAATCTTATGAAAGATTTGAAAATTGTATCAAGTTTTCCTTAGAAAATAATCAACATTCAATAATCAAGTTCCTATCTTTATATCAAAAACTCTTTTCTATTTTTTCCCTTTTAGGCTGTGAAAGTTATTAAAATTTTGAGTGGTAAGGGTAAAATTTTAAATTGTTATATCCAGCTAAAGCAAAAGTCTCAGTTAATGTACTCTCACTTTCTAAAGGAAATATGAACTTAATTTTTAGTATCTATGAACCATGTTTTGTTGCAGAGCTGGGAAAAAGTGACTAATTCAGCACTGTAAAAGTCACATGTGTTCTAAAATAAGTTTCAATAGTCGAATCAGGACAAAGGAAATTACAATGGAAAATGCCCTTAAAAGTGAAATTTGAAGGTATGATTTGCTCACTATGAAATCTAGTCAACACTCTTCCGTTTCCCATCTTGAACATTAAACATCCAAGCAGTTGGCCAATCAACACTGACAGACCATAGCAGAGAAACCACTTACTCTCTCAATGACCCATCAATAATTCCTTTTCCTCAAGTAACAGCCTCTTTAAAAAAAATTATTCCCCCCCATAATACTGACCATAATTATTTTCCCTCAAAATGGCTAACATCTGTTATCAATAATATATTTTATTAAGCACGTTTGTTTAAATTCTTAATTTCTTGATTTTATAAACAAAACTAAGAGGTCTACTCTACTACAGACTGGCAACTATTTTGACAGTTTTTGAGGAGTTGCTTATTTAATGTTTGTGGAATTCTCTTTGTGATACCCTCTTCATAATATTGAGGTGAGAGCTGAGAGTGTTCTTTCTAGCCTCCAGTTTTCTTAAAGCACTTCATCAGGGTCTCTCCTTGATGTGGACCCACTTACCCATTCTCACAAATTTTTTAGCACTTGCCACTAATTACATTCACTCCTGAACTGTGGGTCCTTTGGCTTGTAAGCACTATGATTCCCCCAGAAAACCCTGGTGGCTCAGAGCTGTGCCAATCAGAAATCTCATGCTTGCCAAGGCCTCTATCATGAGAGCTCCCCAAATATTTCTGTTACTCTTATGGGAATCCTCCCGAGCAATTCCCAGAATGTTGCCCAGGATTACTGTGAGACGTAATTATCTGAGATCTGGAACTTGTGTCCTCCAAGGCTGGATTTTTCTAAAACTTCAGTCATCTGTTCATGCCTACAACCTCCCCACTCACCCTCCTTTTCTGTTCTGTCTCAGACCTTCTTCCTAAGGAACATGGGGAAAACATCCCACACATACAGCAAGCTAAAATGTATTCATACTATTTTGATCCACTTTATATCCTCCTGATTGACTGAGTTCTGTAGTAGTGTGAGATATGTTTTCCAAAAATTGCTCTGGATAACTTCACTTCCCTCTCACTGAGGGGGGAAAACAAAACAAAACAAAACAACAAAGAAACCGAGTAAGGATAATCAAGCAAAATTAATTCCTGCACTGGCCATGTCCAAAAAATGTGTCCTGATCTGAGATCATCACCCCTCTGTTAAGACCTGAGTGGCATGTGTCATCCTGGTACCTCTAGAATCATGGTTGGCCATTGTGTTGATGACGGTAGCTTAATATTAGCTTTAAAGAAGAAAGAATGCTAATAAAATTCATTGGAAAAAAAAAAGCATTTTGTGCAAAGTATTTCCAGGAAGTTCTCAGTGCCACAGGAAATTCTGTCATTAACAGCAGCAACAAGAATAATGATCACAACTGAAATTTAGACAGCACTTTAAAGCTTTGAAGCACAGTCCAAACTTTATCTTATTTGATCTTTACAATAACTGTTCAAGGTGGGTACTGCAGGGTGTTGGGTTTTTGTTTTTTTTTTCAGATGAGGAAAGGGAAGGTCAGAGGTTAGGAGACACAGTCAGCAAGTACCAGAGACAAGACTCAGAATTATAGAATTAGAAGGGCCTCTTGAGCTAGCCTAACCTATTCCTGAACCAGAATCCTCTCTATAACATCCCTGACAAGTCATTATTCAGTCCTACCTTGAAGGCGTCCAGGAGCCCCTTGAGATAGAGTAGGTACTTAAGAAGT